CTTCTTCTTCTTCCTCTTCCTCTTCATCATTATCATCCACCTACTCCATCTGCTCATCCAATTTCCTTCTCGCCGCCTCCAACTCTCTCTTCCTCTTTTCTTTTTCATCTGTTTTCCTAATTTTCTCCTCCTTTTTTTTCACCTCCTGAAATTCCAAATCCATTCGCTTTCTGAACCTATGCTCAATGGCTCCTATCCTACTGGTCGGAAAGAAGCCAATGGGGAACAGAAAGCGGAGCATCAGCTCCCAGATCACGGTCAACACGAGAAAGGCGAACATCGGGCAGTTGTCCATGGTGATGTGTCATCAGAGTGGTGCTCACTCTCCCCACCTCACCATGTAGACCTAGCCCTCAACACTTTATCATAATCCTAATTTAAGGGTTGACCAAACCTCCTTTTCCCTCCCACGTACTATCACCAACCTCCTTTTCCCTCCCACGTACTATCACCATAGGTTCCAAGTAGAGCTGTCCTCAAGAACTATTTAACGCTGCAAACATGACGGAGTGGCCACCAAAGGCAAGGTCCCTTTCATGAGTTACACCCCCTCAGGCCATTGTTGAACAAGTCTTTGTACTAAGTTTGTAGCTTTTGTTAGGCCAATTACTGAAGGTAAAAAGGAGGAACAAATACCACCCCAGTTAAATCGTTATTAGAAAAGTTGTTGATGTGTGAGAGGCCCCAACCATTGCGGTAGAGAGGAAGATAAAGCACCAGATAGAGATTGAAACCGGTAATAGAACTCCCAAGGGCCCGATCTATAGGATGTCTCACAGAGAGTTGGAGGAGTTGTCCAAGCAGCTAAACGAACTGATTGAGAAGGGGTGGATAAAGCCAAGCTCCTCGCCATGTGGAGCACCAATCATATTCGTGCCTAAAAATGCAGGCCAATTGCGAATGTGTATCGACTACAGAGGATATAATGTCATTTACTGTCAAGAACGTGAGTCGCTGTCTAGGATAGACGATCTATTAGATGCAAGTATTTTCAAAAATTGATTCGAAATTCAGGTACCAATCAGATAGAGGTATAGCCCGAAGATCAGCACAAGACGGCCTTTAGGACTCGCTATGTCCACTCTGAGTTCGTAGTCATGTTGTTTGGGCTCACAGATGTCCCTGCCACATCTCAGCGATGCATGAACTATCTGTTTAGAAAACCTTATGATCTGTTTCTAAAACCTTACCCGTCAACGAAGTGTTATGTTGAAAGTCAATTCTTTGTTGCAATCGTTTTACATGGGAGCCTCAATGGAAAAGGGTGATACAACCTGTGGAATTTCCTCCAGCAGACAACATTTTGAAACCAAAAGCTAATTGTTCGAGTGGTTTTCCTTTTCCACAACTGTTTTTCATACAAATTCGCGTCCGAATCATTTGTGTTTTTTTTCTTTGCTTTTCCAAACGGGTTTCATAAGAAAAAGTTTAGATAAATTTGTTGTCGTATACTTGCATGATATTCTGACCTTTAGTAGCACCTTAACGGAGCATCAGGAGCACCTCCAATTGATTCTACACAAGCTACGGGAAGCTAAGTTCGGGCTGAACCCGAAAAGTCTATAAATGGGCCAAGCATCATATTTTGGATCTCAGACATGTAGTTGATTGAGATTGAGTTAGTCCGAAAGATGAGAAGATTGCAGCTATTAGGGATAGGCCAACCCCGCACACACTGGCAAAACTACGTTCATTCTTAGGACTGGCCAATTACTAAAGAAACTTTGTCAAAAAATTCACGTCTATTGCTGCATCTCTATGCAGATTACTGAGAAAGGAGACTATTTGGAAGTGGGACAAAGATTGTACATCTGCGTTCAAGAAGCTGAAAAAGTGTTTGATAGAGTATTCGGTCTTGAAGATACTGGATTTGTCACTACCGTTTATCGTTACAACGAACATGGGCCAGTACGGTATTAGCGTTGTACTTCAGTTGAACAATGGAGAAGGATATAAGCCCGTAGAATTCATGTCTTGTAGGTTGCCTAGCGAGAAGGTTCCTGCCTCCACCTACGAGAGGGAACCATTCGCACTAAAAGAGGCATTGGCACATAAGTGGACCTACCTATTAGGACAGCACTTCAAAGTATACTCAGATCATGAGCCACTTCACAGGCTCTAAACTCAGGCTCGTATGTTCACTACACCAGCTCAGTGGGCTACTGAGATTGGTGAGTTTGACTACGAGTTTAAGCCACTTAAACCACCAGTACTTGGCCCAGCTATTGGCCGCGAGGTGCCCATGTTAACGTGCCGCGTTGACAGGGGGTTGCCCGAGTGCAAGCCCGGTCGCTGCACCAAGGCCGGGCTTCGTTGTTTCAGGGATGAAAGCAAAAAAAAGAAAGATATAAACGACGGAACAAAAGAGAAGACAGAGAAAACAAAGAAAACGAAGAAAAAGAAAAATCGAAGAAAAAAACAAACTAGAGAGAGAGAGAGAGAGAGAGATCGTGCGTGCGCGATCTGCCGCGTGTCGCTCCACTACTCTCCAAATGTGCAAAACGAGAGTGAATCTTCCACTAGAACATGGAAAGATACACCGCCATGATTATTGTCTTTTGTGCGTGTCGACAGTAGTTGGAAGTCGAGCACTCTCTCTCTCTCTCTCTCTCTCTCTCTCTCTCTCTCTCTCTCTCTCTCTCTCACGCGCGCACGCACGCACCGCCACAGAGAGGAAGGGGGGGAGAGAGAGAAAGAACCTCGCTCCACTACTCTCGAAATGTGCAAAACGAGAGTGATTCTTTCGCTAGAACATGGAAAGATACACTGCCATGATTATTGTCTCACGGCCAGAGAGAGAGAGAGAGAGAGGGCCTTGCTCCACTACTTTCAAAATGTACAAAACGAGAGTGAATCTCCCTCTATAACATGGAAAGATACATCGCCATTATTTTTGTCTTTTGTGCATGTCGAGAGCAGTGTGCCGAGTCAGGCGAAGCAAAAAGCGCCGACTCTCTCTCTCTCTCTCCCTCGCGCGTGCGCGCGCGCAAACGTGCACAACAGGAATGAATGCAGGAAAATTCATTCCCATTGTGCTTTAAACTGCTTTTCTTTGTTTTTGTTTTTTTTTTCATTCGTTTTTTTTCTTCTTCTTTTTGTTTTTTTTCTTTCATTCGTCTTTTTTTTTTTTTTTTTTTTTTTTTTTTGTTTCTTTACAATAGACGTCCGAGCAGTGTCCTACCGGTAGCTCAAGCCTCGGCAAGGCTCGGCATACCACATTGCTGCAGACAGGACTTGTGACCCGCGCCAAGTACTGGTGGTTTAAGGGTAAGTACAATGTTGTTGCAGACACTCTTAGCAGCCAAACAGATTTCTTTGAAGCCATAGTAACATAGGTAGATGCGGGAGCCGAACTACAGCAGAAAATCATGAAGCCAGATCTGAATGATGAAGTCTATAGTGAGGTCATAAGAAGGGTGCAGGCAAAACCGCATGATGGTCCGGACTATCATATGGTCAATGGGCTGCTATTTGACAAAACTAATGCCCGCGACCGTCTATGCATACCAAATAGTGAAGGGATTCGCAGTCTCCTTAGGTCCTATACGAAGGTTGGGATGAAACAAGATTGTATCTTGTATGACGGCTGCAAGGTATGTTAGGAATAAGAGTTCCACGCAGCCTCCCCTAGGACTATTGAAACCCATTCCATCAGGCCAAGGAGATTCTGTATCTATAGACTTTATGGACACTAAGGTCCAGAGTAGGGACAATAAGAATCAAGTCATGGTTAAGGTAGAAGGATTTAGTAAATTTACAGTTTTTGTTCTGCAACCATCAGAGACAAAGACAGAGCTCGTCATTCTGTGAGTTCTTCAATCATTAAGGATTACGAACATCCTTTGACTATAGTTAGTGACCGAGATACTAGGTCCACAGGTGAGCAATGGCAACAGCTAATGAAAGTTTATGGGCCCAAGCTCAATATGTCACCAGGCAAACACCCTAAGACTAACGGACAGACGGGACATATGAACAAATCGCTAGTGCTTCGTATGAACATTAGACCGGACCAAGTACATTTCCCCGAGGAGGCTAGGGCCTACAACAATTCGGTTCATCTTGCTACCAATCAGACACCTGAGGAGTTGCAGAATGGGTGGGGTCCTAGACGCCCTATAGATTGTCTAAATCCTGATCAGATTCAAAGATTGACACCCGACACTAGGGGAGCGCAGTGCATTATGAAGAGGCTCGCAGAAAGTCGGTGAGAATATCAAGAAGGCCCAGCATCAAATGATAGAACAGGCCAATCAGCATCTCAGGCCTTCAAAATTCGTTGTCGGTGACTTACTATGGGGTTCGTATTACTCGTAAGGAAGGAATATCTCAGAAACTCCTACCTGCGTACAGAGAACCGTGAAAGTCCCTGATGTTATTGGTGATCCAGATGGTCCCTCCTATACGATAGGCATACCGGTACATTTGCATACATACCCAGTCTTTCATGCTTCTAAGAAGCTCGTTAGACACTCCTTGGGGTGTCCTCAGGGCCGAAGGAAGTTTCCTTGGGGGTTTTCAAGGAAATTCCTGTCGTCGTTCCACCTCTCCCAAGGATGATTCCTTTCGGCCGTCGGCAGCCATTTTCATAATATTATAGTCAGCCGCGGGAGGGAAAATGCCTTGGTCCATTGGGTGATGTCCGTCTTGCTATGGTGTGGTCCAGCTGCCGAAGGCGGGAAATTTTGAAAGGCGCCAGCGACCGGAAAAAAAAAAACCCTTAAAAAGCAATGGAGCTCCCCGTTCGAAAATCAAATTTCAAATTGGGTGCTGGACGTCACGACGGCGATGCGGGGCAGGCGGCGTCCATATCTGCGACGGTGGAAATGGGCATTTGCAGCAGCGCAGTGGAGTCCTCGTACATCGTCACGAATTTGTGAGTGCCCCGCGAAGGTCCATCGCCATCACCTCTGCATGCCGCCACGCCTATGTGTTGAGTCGAGCACACACGGGGAACGTCGTCGGGGACGACGCTGAGGTTACCGTGGTCGTGGCGAGTTGGTAGACTGTTGTATTTTTGTGGTTCATGAGCATTGCAACACATGTGCCGATGGAGAGCGGCAGCGATGACGGACGTGCGAAGTTTATGACAATCAAGAAGACGGTCGTGGCAGCGGCTGTGACAGCCGTGCTCTTTTGTTGTCAGCAGGAGAGGGCATTGGGCATAATGAGAGCGCAGATCCGCACGCGGAGGAGGAAGACACTTCATCAAGTCTCGGTCGAAGGGCGGGATACCGTGGCCATCACCGAGGCTGCAGTTCAGGCTTGCTGCGCCATGGGTTGCAGTGTTCTTCCACGAGCGACGACGAGGTGGTGGATGAAAAGGAGGACCGGGGGGGCGTCGGAGGATCTCAGGCAATGCGATGATGCGCCGGAGGAGTACTTCTGGGAGAAGCTGCGTATGTCACCATGTGTCTTTCGGGCGATGGCGATTGCATCCAGTGTCGACGAACGCTCGTGGGATGCGCTGCCGATGTCGATGTCGGCTGCAGTCGGCCTCGATCCCTCGTCTTCTCTGCTGGAGGCCTTCAATAGAGGTCAGCCATCAACGATAGAGGAAGCACACGTGGAACGGGAGAACCACGACAAGCAAAATTGTGACTAGGAGCAGCAGTGGCAACCTTCAATAGCGGTCGGCCATCAACAACACGTACGACAGGGCCGTAATTCTACGACCACGCTGAAGGTCCACCAAACAGCAACGATAAAGGGAGCAGACGCTCGAGGACATCATATGACACACGCACTCTAACAGGCCATACACCCTTGCACTGCGAGCTGGGCTGTGGCCTGCACGGTGGCTTCTGGAGTGGTCCCGTCCATGCTGACATCCTTCTTAGCAGACCGCCTCTTACGTGTATGTCCAGGCACCCTGCCGAGGATGCAGACGTGGAAGAAGACGACAAGGACAAGCAAAAGGATGACCAGGAGCAGCAGCGGCAGCCTTCGAAAGACGTTGGCCATGAAAGGCAAGTGGGGAGGGCAGTAGCTAGACGACGACGGTACACCTCCAGCAAATGGCGACGAGGAGGGCTGCAAACGGCAGACCGCAGCATGGGACAAACACCTTGTAACGTTTTCCGTCGTGGAATACAGTGGGCAATCGGAGCAAGGGGGGTCGGCTCAAGTATTCAAATCTGCCAACCGTTCGGCCCCTTTCCGTTTGGCGGCACGCACTGCGAGGGAGAACACTGGTCGACGACGTCCACGGGAGCCGGCCGACAACAAACGGTTACCGTTGGCGTAAGGTTCCTGGAAGCCGAGCGTTGAAGACCCAAGATGTCTATGCGCTGCCCGGTAGGATCTCCAATGGACCAACCGACGAAAATTTCTTGCCAACGACGGGTGCCCTCATCGCTCCGATTATCGCGGATCCTTGACCTCCAAGGGACCTCGGGAGGCCCCTTGGGGAATGCCACCAAATGGCTGTAGCCCGAGGACGCCCCAAGGATTCCCCAAGGAAATGTTTTCACTTTTTTTTTCATTTTTATCCCCAATGATAGGTGGAACAAAATTTTCCTCGGGGGATTTACGTGCCCGAGGAGTGTCTAACGAGCCCCTAAGTTACTGCCCTGCGTAGTAAACGATAGGTTTCCATCACACAGATCTATGATTCCACCTGACATGGATGGCAGATATGAACAACAGAATTATAGATGAAGACGTCTACAGATCATGCCGGAGCGGCAGACCCCAGCATTAGTACAAAGTCAAATGTGCCTATCAGATGATTCCTGGTACACTAAGGATGAACTCACAGAAACCCCACCGCGTACAGTACTACGAATGCGCCAGAAAGGGTATCAATATCATAGACCGGCACAGATGAGATCTTTCTCAAAGAACCCCTAAATTAGGTCGGCGGGAGAGTGATAGGATTTCACATTGTACAGGCATCTCGAGTCCCAGTCCCAGAGCCCCAGTTGGGTCCACTCCCAAATGGTCCCAGGCCCACTAGGTCCTAGTAGGTCAAGTCCCAGGGTCGATAGGGTCTCCGAGGAGTCCATAGGTCGAAGCATCGCAGTCCAGTACCTTCGGAAGTCGGAATGCCGTAGGTCAGTAAAAGTCCACCCATACCAGCATGAAAAGTTAGTCCTAAAAAAAATGCAGCGCCGTCCTGAGAGAGGCCAAAGACTCCCAGACTGACACAAACATGCAGCAGGCACACCGCAGGCGACCGGTACCGATGTGAAGCAGGCAGTGTCAGCAGGTTCTATTTATAGCTGCTACAATACCAATGGCAGTTCAGTTGTTCATTTGCAAGTTGCAGAAGCGCTGCCGGCTGCTTGTGCAATAGTGCGACTTGGGTGATTGCGCCAAAGGGAGGAGACAGCGCCGAGGTCAAGGAGCTAGCAAGAAGGCGGCCATAACCGTAAAGGTGGAGGACGAAGCAATGATGGTGTATTCACTGTAGATCCAAGTAGGCGAGAGTGAGCAGGAGAGAGAGAGAGACTGAGGTCGAGCAATACAAGTATTTGAAGAGTCAGAGAGAGTCACACCAGAGGAGAGGGGGGGTCAGGTACATACCTGTCGGATCTTGCTGGGTTGCAGCTTTGGCTGCTGGACACTCGAACCCTTCCATTGCATAATAATAAACGACTGAAGTTCTTTCGTGCGCTGAATCGTGTCTCATCTTTCACTTTCGTGTGAACTCTCATGTGAATGTTCTGTTCATGCATGTTGTGCTTTGGGGTTGGAATTCCGGAGGTTCATTGCAAGAAACAATGTCTTTATCAAAACCTCCATACTTCACCTCCTGCTAAGACAGTCACCGAAATTAAACTAACCCTCTGAAAAGGAAGAAAGAATCATACAATACGAGTTATCCAACAGTTGGGCACCCAGCTACACATTAGCAACTGCAATCACGCCTCGCGCACTTACTTCGTCAAGGACCATTTGACCAACGCCTATATAATGTGTTCAAAGACTGTCTCACCCCTCCCTACCTCTGTGAGGGTGTGACCTCTCTCTCTCTCTCTCTCTGTGTGTGTGTGTGTGTGTGTGTGTGTGTGTGTGTGTGTGTGTGTGTGTGGTGTGTGTGTGTGTGTGTGTTTGTGTGTGTGTGTGTGTGTGTCTTCCCTACCACACCTCACATACATTGCCACAACTTCTGGCATCCAAATGGAATGTGCTCAGGGAGCTCTCTCTCTCTCTCTCTCTCTCTCTCTCTCTCTCTCTCTCTCTCTCTCTGTGTGTGTGTGTGTGTGTGTGTGTGTGTGTGTGTGTGTGTGT